CGGGAGACAGAGACAGAAAGCACAAAATGACCCCACCCCCAGGGATGTAATTCTAATTTGAGTTAATGCATATGAATATAAATTAATCAACTGACAAGTGACCCTGTGGTTGGTGGTAAATGCCCCTGGAGGGTGGGGGATGGCTATACCACAATCCCTTTTCCTCCATTCTCCTTGCAATATTTTGGGCATGTACTTGGCATGAGTTTCAAGCTGCTGGGTATGGAACTTGAACCACGGGTGGCCACATGGGGAGTCCAGCACCTTAACCACTAGGCCACTTGCTGGCCCTTTAAACCATTTTGATTTAAATGATTTTCTCTGTTTCTGCCAGAACCGTGATGAATACCATCTCTGCAAGACTTACTTTCTTCATTTGTTGTAACATGGAGCGGGTCACATGAGAACCTGCTTCATTTCTGGGAGTGAGGACTACATCAGGCAATGCTGTAGTTACTGGTAACATAATACACAGTAGACACTCAGTAAGTACTAGCTCTGGTTATTTTTATCATTGTTGCGTGTGAACTGCAGAAATATTGAGCTAACTTGGGGCCGGCGGGTGGCGTGGTGGTTAGGGGCACTGGACTCCCACATGGCCGACCACAGTTCAAGTCTCGGACCTGGTGGCTTGCTTTCTCACTTCCTCTCTCTCTCTCTCTCTGTGTCTCTCTGATCAAACTGGAAAATAATAATGATAATAATAAATAAAGTTAAATAAAATAATTCTTTAAAAAAAAAGAAATATTGAGCTAACTAGGCTACTTTTGATAGAAGATTCCTTTGAAATAGTGATTAGCTAATTACAACACCCACGTCCTACCTCCTTTGTGTCTCACCACAAATAGACTTCACATGCCCTCATCCTTCTCTGCTTCCTCACAGCCTTCCATGGTTGGCTCTCTTTTGTTTGCTTATTTTGTTTTTTGGCAGGTATGTGACTTTCTCAAAGATTCCCAGTGTAGACTCCCCCCACCCCTCAGTCTACAAGCATGAGGCTACTATGTAACTTCATTAAAAGAAAAGAAAAAGAAAAAGAAAACACCAGTGTTGACAGATTTGGGGGTTTTGAGTTACAGCCTTAAGTACTAAGTGTTTTTCATTCTTCTACTCTCAAAGTTCAAAAAACAGCTCTGGAGAAATGGACCATTCTCTTAAATCCTAACTGTTATGAAATTATGAAATGGAGTAGAATGGCCTGGGTCCAAAATAGAATTTTAAGGACATCAATAGTAAACAAATTCTAAGTGGCCTGACCAGTCACCATTGTGGCTGGCACTTTGTTTCCATTCAAACATACTGTAGTAACTAAATTTAAATACTGTACTTACTGGGCCTTTTACAAGCCTTCTCTGATGACTACATTGAAATCAAAACTTACAATGCTAATTTTGCTTCCAACTCCTTCATACTAATGTCTAGGGTTTTGTACTATTATTATTTTTTCAGGTAAGTCTAGATTCTTTAATTCATTCTTTCCAAAAAATTATTTTGAGGAAATAAGAACTTCCATATGCCTTTTCTTTTTTCTCTCTCTCTTTTTTTAAAGAAGTCTTTATTTAATTTAATTTATTATTATTATTATTTAACTTGCCATAGTTATCAGAGAGAGATGGGGCAGGTGGGGGGAGTCCAGGACTTGAACTTCAGTCGGCCATGTGGGAGTCCAGTGCCCTAACCACCATACTACCTGCTTGCCCTCCTTTACTTTTCTTAATAAGTCCATAAAATAGGTATTATTATCCCTATCCTAGATATTAAAAAATTGAGATGTAAAGAGTTTCAGTAACAAGTAAAGACCATAGAGATGTTGAATGGCAGAGCTGGTCCTTGGGCCCGTTTTTCTTTATCACATCAGTCTCGGTGTCTGACATGGAGAGGCAAATGACCCAAATCTATGAAAGTCCACAATGCTACAGGTGAGTAAAATAGTTCCTGCCCTCAAGAGCTTTCTCTCCCCTTCGAAACAGGAACAGTGAAATGCTTCTAGGTTTATTAAATATGGCGATGATATATCTTTTCTTCACACATTCCATCTTCCAGTGCTGTCTCATATATACTGTCTTGAAAATATAGGATAACAAAGATTTATTAGATGTTTTCCCTCATAGCCTCCAATCTATGCTGCATTATTCCAACAATCATCTTAAATCTATTCATGTTAGTATTCACAAATGTAATTTAGCTTTTTCTCCCTCAAAAGAAATATGCCACATAGCGCCCTGTGAGCTCTGTTGCAGATGGTGCCAATGTTCCTCTTGAATCTCCTGCCTTACAAACAGTCCCCACTTAGGCTGATGATCCCTTCTCTGTAGGAGCTTCCTCAGCCCACATACAAAGCAGGAAGAAAGTAACAGGGTTAACATGCCCAGAGGGACCACTTGGCAAATAAAAGAATAGGACTTTGTAGATAAACACTCT